GACACCCTCACACCACCACTGTACCTTATGTATCCTTCCACGCTGCTCTGGCCACAAAGCTGGTCCCTCAGTAGGTAGGTGTTGTGAGAGGAATTGATGTAGTAGTGGTTCAGAGGGTAAGTCATATCCTGGTACACAGGGAGGCAGTCTGGGTTGAAGATGTTTCCATCCTTCGAGCAGAGATAGCGGAGGAAGCCATCCTTGCTCATCACGTGCAGCAATCTGCCTGGAGTGTAGACCACGAGAGTGAGAAGGTCTGAGAAGTTCTGGCATACCCATAAGCCTCTTCTCAGGTCCCCTCCCTTGGGGTCCCTACCCTTAAATGCCTATTCCCACTCTGCCTATCCCGAATTTGCGACATGTTGTACCTGCCATTCAAAACAGACTTTTCCCAGCTATCTAGACCTTTCTCTTCCTTTTCTTTTCTTTTTTCTTTCTTCCTTCCTTTCCTTCCCTTTCTCTCTTTTTTTAATTTATACAAATCTTTATTATGTATATGGTCCAGCCTGCATGTATCCCTGCAGACCAGAAGAGGGCACCAGATCTCATTACAGATGGTTGTGAGCCACCATGTGGTTGCTGGGAATTCAACTCAGGACCTCTGGAAGAGCAGCCAGTACTCTTAACCTCTGAGCCATCTCTCCAGCCCCCTCTTTTCTTTTTTTTTTTTAAAACAGGTTCTCATTATGTAGCCCTAGCTGGCCTGGGACCCTCAATGCAGGCTAGGCTTGCCTCAAACACACAGAGATCCAGGTACGATGGCACACACCTTTAATTTCAATACTTAATCGATAGATGCAGGCAGATCTGTGAGTTTTAAGCCAGCCTGGTCTACATAGTGAGTTTCAGGACAGTCAGAGTTACACAGTGAGATCCAGTCTTGGAAACAAAACAAAAAACAAAAGCTAACCACTCAGAGATCCTTCTGCCTCTCCTATGTACTTGGATTAAAGGTGGGTGCCACAATGCCTGCCACATGCTGTCTTGCCCTCCTCACTCACATGCCTCATGTTCTCTCTCTCTCTCTCTCTCTCTCTCTCTCTCTCTCTCTCTCTCTCTCTCTCTCTCTCTCTCTCTCTCTCTCTCTCTCTCTCTCTCTCCCTCTCGCTTTACACTTATTATTTACTTTGTGAATGTGTGTGATGTGTGTGTAGGGTTGCATGTAATGTGCTTCACACATTTGTGAAGATCAGAGGACAATTTGCAAGAATCGATTCTTGATCATGTGGGTCCACAGGCTCAATCTCAGGTCATCAGGCATGGCAGCAAGCACCTTGCCCACTGAGTCATCTGAGTGATCTTGCCAGTCCCCACCTTAATTCTTCTGAGTGATTTTCTTTTTTAAATAAACTGTCTCTATTTCTATCAATAAAAAAAGAAAATTATTTTGGCAGGACCTGGTGGTGCACACCTATAATCACAAGCCATGGGATTGTAGGCACTTGTAAGGCACAAGCCATGGGATCTTGACTTTTGGTTCAAAGCTAGCCTTGGCCATATCGTGAGATTGTGTCTTTAAAAAACTAGCCAGGCGTTGGTTGTGCATGCCTGTAATTCCAGCAATCGGGTGGCAGAGGCAGGTGGATCTCTGTGAGTTTGAGACCAGCCTGGTCTACAAGAGCTAGTTCCAGGACAGCCTCCAAAGCCACAGGGAAATCCTGTCTTGAAAAACACAAGCAAAAAAAACAAAACAAAAAAACCCCAAAAACCAAAACCAAACAAACAAACAAATCACTGAGTGAAGAATGGCAGGAATTTGGATAGGAAGTTAAAACCCAAATCATTGAGTGAAGAATGGCAGGAATTTGGATAGGAAGTTTCCATTGACGACCCCACTTCTCAACACAGTGCACTGGATGGAATTCAGCTCTTAGGGGACACGCTCAAGTCATGACTGATGTAGTTGATGTAACTGATCCTGCTCTGGGACACAAGATCCTATTCTTCAGACTTCTTCAGCTTTATTCCCTGGCTAGCATGGTTGTACACAATTGTTTTTGTTTCTTTTGTTTTGTTGTTTTGTTTTTCAAGACAGGGTTGTACTGTGTACTCTGTAGATCAAGTTGGTTTTGAACTCAGAGATCCCCCTGCCTCTGTCTCTCAAGCGCTGAGACTAAAGGCATGTGCCACCACACCCAGCTTGAGATCCTATTTCAAATTTAAGAAAAGATTTTGTTTAGAGTTATTGGGGAGGGGGGCAAAGAATTTCACTTTAGAGTACATCCATAAATCAGAAATCACTGATGTTCGAACTGCTCTGACCCACTGTTTGACTCTGAGTTCCAGCAGGGCAGTATTCCTGTCTGGTCTAGGCATCATTGTCTCTATGGTGCTTGATCTAGGTCCTGACACATTATACTCAATAAGAATTCCTCACCAATTGGTGGTGGAGCATGCCTTTAATCCCAGCACTCAATGAGGCAGAGGCAGGTAGATTTCCGATTCAAGGTCAGCCTGGTCTACAAGAGCAAGTCCAGGACAACCAGGGCTACATAGAGAAACCCTGTCTGGAAAAACAGACAAACAAAAAGAATTCACTAAAGTGGTGAGTGAGTGAGTGAGTGAGTGAGTGAGTGGATGGGAGTGAATGTTGAGGCCCAGGAACCCTGGACTGCTTGTCCATCCCAATCATTTTACTCTATCATTTTTCATGGGATACATTGCTTGGGGATGACCTGGTTTGGATTGCAGTTCCAGTCTCATCAGTTGCTGGCTTCCAGACAGTTGTTTAACCTCCCTTTTATTTTTATTTTATCGTGTTTGCATATGTGTGTGAGTGTGGTGTAGGCACATATGTGTACAAGTGGGTATGTAGAGGCCAGAGAGATTGTCCAGTGTCCCCCCTACCATTGAGATAGGATCTCTCACTGAACCTGAAACTAGGCTGACAGCTAGAAAGCCCTGGCGACTCCCATCTCTGCTGTCCACCCATATCTCTGAGGTTTCAGGTACACCTGAAACCAGTCCTGGCCTTTCACATGGGTGCTAGGATCTGAACTCAGGTCATCTTGCCTGCACAGCAAGCAATCTTACCTATGGAACCACCTCTCCAGATCCCCATTTGAGTTTTTGAAGATTTGAAAAATCTCTGTTTTCCTATTCCTAAAACTAACCTAATAGAGCCTATTTTATCGGGAAGGCTAAGCCAAGAAAAGACTGTAGCAATGTTAACACATTGTGGGATACTCAGTGAAATCCCAGTGGCTTGATTATTTTCCATTTTATAAAGTTGCAGTGAGGATTAAATTAAGTGAAGATTGTGAAAGTGCTTTGTAAACAATTTACTATTGATATAAATGCCTCACACTCTGAAGAGAATGGAGGGGTAGAAGTGAGTTCACTAAGGAGCAAAGTAGAGGAAAGTTTAATGATAAACAAGTCATACTTTAGCTGTACTTGTCAAATGTGTATGGCCCCCAGCCTAGGCTGACCAGATTCCTGATTCAAGGGCTTGAGGACCCAAGATGACCTTAGAGAGCTTCCAGGAATGGTTAGGGAGCCGACATAAAGAATCATTGCATGGGAGGAGGCCAGAGTCAGAGCAAGTGTTTTCTTCCTTCACTGAGGACAAGGTTGGTACAGTGAAGAATTCCCCCAAGGTAAGGGATGTGGGGTGGGAGCAGAGGGAAGGAAAGGGGACCTCAGACTCTTACCTGACGGGAACGGCTGCCCTCCTTCAGGTTACGTGGTTTGCGGAGATGATTGGAAAGGAGGCCGGGACAAGGGTGGACTCAGTCTCCCCTATGTTAGAAGACTGTCTCTGGGTCTTTCTTTTTTAGCCCCCTCTTCATTCCCTATGTCTAGCATCTGTACACCCAGTTGTCCTTACCACTCTCTGAAGGCTCATAGAGGTCAATGAATTCCAGAGCAAGGTCGGGGGCATGGTCTTTTTCTTTCTGCTCCTCTCTAAGGAAATCCACAAATTCCAGCAGGGTCAGCTTCTGTCCATCTGATGAAAAGTTCTCGAATAGTTGCTCAACCTCAGTACGCTTAGTCAGTGCCTTATAGAACTGTACAAATTCTTCTCCTTCTAGAGTATCAGACTGGGACACATTTGCTTCCTGCAAGAAAGGATTTAGCAGGGAATGGATGAACACTGGGAAATGGTGTGCTCTTTTGTCCTGTAGGGTTGTATGGCCAGCAAGCTTCAGGAATCTCTCTGTCTATGTCTCTCTCCCTCCTTCCCTCCCTCTCTCCCTTCCCCCCTATCACTGGGGATAACCCGATACACACATCATGCCTGTTTTTTTTCCACACAGATTCCAGGGTAGAATTTGGGTCTTATTCTTACATGGCAAACAAGTACTTTACTAACAGGCTTAAGGGCCTCTCAGCATGTGTTTATAAAACTCTCACAGAACTCCTGAGATTTCATAGAGGTCACTCCAGGAAATAAAAGGCAAAGTTTTAGCCTTATCATCTTCTGGAAGAAGAAGTTTTAACCAGAAAAATTATATCTCACAAATGTTTTTAAATGGTTAGAAGAGAACTGGGAGCAATGGTACATGCCTTAAATCCCAACTTAGGATCAGGAGTTCAAGGTCATCTTCAGCTACAAAGTGATTTTGAGGTCAGTTTGGGCTACATTTGATGCCGGTTCAAAATAGGCAAACAGCAACAACTAGTCAGAATCTGTCACCCTTAGTCACATTGCAGATGGAATTTCGTAGAGGGTGCCTGTGAAACTGTGGCTCTGAACAGGAAGGTCCAACATAGTAACATACTGGGCTTCTTGTTTTGTTTTGAGACAGGATCTCTCTATGTAGTCCCGGCTGTCCTGGAACTCACTATGTAGACCAGGCTGGCCTCAAACTCAGAGATCCACGTGCCTCTGCCTTCCAAGTGCTGGGACTAAAGGCGTGTGCCACCACTCAACTCCAATATAATAACATGCTGTTACTTTCTTTTTATAGGGATTATGACTTATCCTCTCAACAAGACAGAGGAGACAGAATCATTCCCCACACCAATCCCACTGAGCTTATTATAGTAATGGAGAACACAGTAACGATTCAACAAATGAATGCTGTTGAGTAGGGCCAGGGGTCTTCTGTCCAAGTGAAAACATGATCTGACTGACTCCTGCAAACCCTCCCCAGCAAACATACCTGAAAAAGATTGAGGGCATATTCTTGATCCATTTCCACGTTCATCAGATGCAGCAACCGTTGAGCTTCTTCGAAACTCATCCTGCCATCCTGGTTTCTGTCTCCTCGGTGGAACCACTCACTCACCCATCCAGCTCTGAGTCAAGGCAAAAGTGCTGTGTGTGCTCATTGACTGACACCTCTCCTAGTGTCTCTCCCAAGCCAATCCATTCTCTACATAGCTTCTAGAGAAACCTCTCTTGAACATAAATCTATCTTGCCATTGTGTGCCTGCAGGGACACCCCCCCCCATTGTCGACGGAGAGAAACCTAAATTCTGACAAGAAGTTAAGATGCCCCTGACCCTTGTGATCTGGCCCAGCCCAGTCCTGCCCAGCCTTCTCAATGTGTCTGTCTCAGCAACTCCTCTGAACACCATCCCTGACCAGCTTCCTTCAGTCTCCTCTCCCTGAACCTTCATTCATGTTATCCCCTCAGACAGAAGTGCCTTTCCCATCTCTTTCTTCAGGTTTCAATTATACTATTTTTTCTTTCTTTCTTTGATAGGGCCACATGTAGCTAAGACTAGCCTCAAACTTTCCATGTAGCCAAGGCTGACGTTGACCTTTTGATTCTCATGCTTCTGCCTCCTGGGTACTGGAGTTACCGGCCCAAGTTGCCACGCCCAGTGTATGCTGTGCTGAGATCGATCCCCGTGCCGCTTGCATGCTAGGCAAGCACTCCACCAGCAGAGCTACATCTCCAGTCCAAATTTTAAGGGGCCAACTCACATGCTGCTTCTTCCTGGCACTTTCTCAGAACACTCTCAGGTAGAATCAAGCAGTCCTCTAATTCGGTACTTAAATTATTTACACAAATTGATTCTCTCCACTAAGTAAAGTAATATATGTGGTCTCATTAATCTTCACGTCCCTAAAACTAGACATAATGGTGAATAGTCTGGCTAATTGGTGCTGAATGAATGTATACGTGCATGAAGTAATGTACAATCTAGGAACTCCTTTTACATTTGCTGGAGAGTCTGTAAGCCACTGTGTGTTGGGGTGTCACAAGAACTGGGAGTCAGTCCTCTCACGCCATCAGCTCCAAGGACTGAATTCAGGCTGTCAGGCTTGGTCGCAAGCACCCTCACTGTCTGAATCATCTCACTGACTTCAACCTAGGAATCTTTAAGTGAGTCTACACCACTGCACACTGGGTCGTGAATGTCACTGGGGTGTCTGTTTAGTTCACAGGAGCAGCCTCTTGCTTGCTCTTCTTCCTCCTCCCCTGGACTCGGGTTCCCAGTCTCAGACTGGCCACCACCCTTTTCTCCTTCAGAACCATCAGTTCTATACTGGCCTCCATCTCTCTCCACACCACCTGGATCCTTTGACTTCTCTATTTCTGCACCTCTTCTCATCTTCCCTGGTTCTGAAGCATCTGGTCCCTTCACTAACCCCTGTCCACACCCTAACTCCATCTGGTCGATACTGGTCCAGTTGCTCTTGGTAGTTCAAGCTGGTGACAAGATCCACCAACAGCTGGAGTCCTCGCATCCAAATCTGGGCCTCTTCAACACTGTTGGCCACCAGGTCCAGGTTAGGGCGGCGGCCATGAAAGACGATGGTGAAGCCTTGCTCCAGGGGGAACTCTTCCGTCAGACAGCGCAGCAACTCAGAATCGTGGCCCTTACGTATTGTCTCCACATCAGAGATGGAAACTGTCAGAGAAGAAACATGTGAGAGCACTGAGGAAAGGAGTCTGGCAGATAGCTGGGGATAAGGAATGGTGCCCAGAACTCCTTTTTCTATGAAGACACAGGGAGGAGGAACCTGAGCTCCTGCAGGCTGGATCCCAAAGGACACTTGGACAGGGTGATGGAGACCCAGTGACTCAGAAGTCCACATGAGTCAGCGTCTTCTTAAGCAGCATGGCAAGGAGCTTCAGCTAGACACGGCAAGACCTGACTTCCAGCCACCAGCTGGCAGTGAGAAGACCCAAACTTAACCCCTCAGTGTCCACGTCTGAAATAGTGGATGGTCCCTATTCATGGCAGGTCACGATGGTTCCCACAGGAGAACTAGTGAGGATGCCAATACATCTGTAGACTGGTAACACCAAAAGAGTATAGTGTATGTGTATGTTTCAGGTTAGAAGAGAGCAAGAGAAATTCCCATTCCCTACCTCAGCTCAGGGTGGTGTGGTTCATGAGTATTGAGTATGTCTTTAAAGCAGACTCTGTTTATTCTGTAATCAAGTATTTAAAGATAACAAAGAGCTGGCCACAGGATGCACACTGTTGAGATGCATTTTATGCTCTGAAATATTGTAATGGCTACATTTATGAAATTTGTTCAGGTTTCAGATCTCATGGTAGATGTTTCACACATTAGCTTATTGAGTCTCTATAATTTACAGGTAGATGCTGGTTAACCTCCATTTTGTTGATGAGAAACTTTAGTTCAATTAAGTAATTTGTCCAAAGCTGCTTGCCCAGAAAGTGGTAGAGTCAGGGTTTTAATCCAGACATTGTGCTCACAGTCATAATCACCATAATAAATAACCTATTATTTGTAGAGACTCATCATGTGTCAGGGCTCTTCTAAGCCTGCCATATGTAATAACTAATTGAATCCTCATGACAGTCTTACAAAGGCAAAGGCTGGTTTGTCATCTTGTAGAGAGTCACACAAGTGGCCCTGCACAAGAGACCACTATCACAGGATCCTGGTCCTTCCCCTGCCCTCAAACTTCTGGATTCCTCAGAGACCTGCTCACCCATATATACCCACCCACAGCTATTAAGGTCACTCACAAGTGGGCTTGGCTATGCCTTCGGCTTGCCGTGCATGCCAGACTGTCATGCCGTCACTCTGAAGTTTGAAGTATCTTGGCTTCTTCCAGGTTTTGGTCCTCACCTTGCGCATCATCGTGCCTTCTTGCATCAGCAGCAGGTCCTGATCAGTGGTCAGTCCTGAGCCAGGAAAAGCGGGGCTTATTTAGCCAGTGGGAAGGCTGGAGGGCCCAGAGGAGCTCTGCAACCAGGGTCTAGTCTCCTTCATTCCCCAGACTTTTCCCCAAGACCTCTTCCCCTGCAGGGGTACTCACGGTCTTGAATCTGAGATGCCATCACCCACTGCTCTACCAGCTGGTGCCAGAGTCAATGAAAGGAACAAGGAGGAGCAACGGGCTTTGGGTGAGTCCTAGAGATTAAGAGAATAAGAGAAGGAAACCCAGGGTTTTTTTAGTGGCTTGTATCAGGTACTTCATTTAGTCTGTAGCTATTTGCACTTCTGAATCAGCTACTTGCTGATTCTGAGGCTTAGCTAGGCTAAGAAACCTGTCTCAATTCATACATAGATAAGAATTTAAAATAAGATACATAGATCTATCTTTGTTAGCTAGTTCCCATAGCTATCCCCAGGGAGGGCTAAAACAGAGCATGTTCCAAACACTGTCTTGCTACCTACACTCAGTAGGTAACATCGCTCCACACCTTGCTCATTCCCCATGTCCTCATTATTAGGGTCTTACAGCCAACAGTTATCAGAACCTAGAGTCTGTCCACCCTACCTGTGTCTCCTCCAGGCAGGATTATTCCAGCTTTTTCCTTCCTAGAACCCTGTCTATACTCTCATGTACATTGTGTCAAATTCCTTAAGAGCTAGAGCAGAATCTTTTTTCTTTCTTTCTTTGAGCAGTCTCATGTAGCCAAAGACTGGCCTTGAACTCCTGATCCTCTTGTTCCCAACTACAGAGTGCTGGGATCACAGATGTGATGCCCAGCATCATGTTCAACATTTTTGTTATTGTTTTTGTTTTTCAACACAGGTTTTTCTGTGTAACCCTGGCTGTCTTGGAACTCACTGTAGACCAGGCTGGCCTTGAGCTCACACAGATCTGCTTCTGCCTTCCAAGTGCTGGGATTGTGCACCACCACTCCAGGCAGGAAGTCTAACGAGAGTGTAAGAGTCACTGAAAATACAACTTCCCTGACTTAAAGACCCGGAGAAGGTTCTCTAAAGGGGTAGAGGAGTGAAGGGCAAAAGGTGAGGAACAGGGCTGAAGAGATGGCTCAGAGGTTAAAAGCACTGGCTGTTTTTCCAGAGGTCCTGAGTTCAATTCCCAGCAACCACATGGTGGCTCACAACCATCTGTAATGAGATTGGGTGTCTTCTTCTGACTAGCATGCAGGCAGAACACTGTATTCATAATAACAAATAAAATCTTTTTAAAAAAGGTGAGGAACAGTCTTTTGGGAGAGAAACAGGTGTGGCAGTTTTAGGAAGAAAGTTTTCCTGGCTGAGGCTGAATATGTGCTCCTGACTGAGACTAGAAGAGCCCTCTGGGTGGAAGAAAGGACGATAAATGCTCCTTCAGAGGCAGGAAGCATCTCATTTTCTAGGTGTGGCTGCACCGTGTGGAATCTTCACACAGGTTAAAACTTCTCTATGAAGACTGGAGGAGAAAGCAATGTGTCACTCTTGAATTCCATAGGTGCTCAGGCCATAGTGGGGAGAGGGTGATGCCTATCTCCTTTGCCAAAATCTCGCCTTCAATCCCCTCTAAATTTCAGCTTCCACCTTGTGGGCATAGGACTCTGTAGTGGGTCTTGGGCTTGGAAGAAGACAGGTTACCTTCTCTGTTCCTGTGTCCAGGAGCCTTACATGTCCTGGAACATGGGAAGCCTGAGAACAGAGCCCAGGAGCCAGAACAGTTTCCCAAAACAGCCTTGGAAAACCACTTCGCCATTTTTTCCTCATCTAACCTGTCCCCATTCCAGAGCGATGGTATTAACTTGTAGACATGTGATCTATGGTCAAAAGAATGCCAGCAGCACCTTAGGAAGCCACAGCATATGTGAACTGAGCTTCATGGAGGAGACTGAAGACCAGGAAGCCTGGCTGTCCTGCCACAGTCATTTAGTGACAGAACTGCAGTAGAGTGCATGTCTATCTACCACCAGTACAGAGCTCACCAACTCTTCCCTTAGAAAGGGCCTCCTCCAGAAGGCAGGTTGAAGGAAGGCCAGGAATCAGTGAGGGTCACTGGTGATCTCTCTCTGCACTCCATGATCTTCCGGGTCCCTATATCCCACCAAACAAGTTTCTTTTCTTCCCGTTTTCTTGACTTTCCCATTCCATGTCTGACCTCTTTCTTTTCCTCTCTTCCTAGCTCACTCTTTTCCCTCTCACAATCCTCTCTGTTGACTTAAGTCATGCTTTTTGTGTTCTCTTCTTATCCTTCTCATCCTTTTTCTCCATCACCTTTTCCTGCCATTCCCCTCCTTTATATCCACTAATTCCCAATAGCTCTGATTCTCAACCTCTTCATGGATTTTGAGTCTATAGTCCAGGAGAGAGGACACTTTGCTTTGGATACTCAGTAACATGCCCCTCCTCTCAGCCTCACTTTTCCCTGTATCCTAGGAGACTGACTAAACAAAGTGCCCAAAGAATGTGTTAGAACCTAAATGTTCTAGGGCTTGGTGTTTCTGATGGTGTCTGAAAGGAAGGATGGTTACAACGGATGCAGGTGCAGTGGGGTGAGAACAAAGGGTTTGGGAGAGGGGCACCAGCAAGGACACAGAAGATTAACTCTCCAGTAAGAGAGACCGGGTCAGCTAGGCACGATGGCAATCTTAGCACTTGGGAGATAGAAGCGAAGGATCAGGTGTTCAAGGGCATCCTTGGCTACACAGAAAGTTTGAGGGCAGTCTGGGTTCACACACAGAGAGAGATTAGCACATATACATCTATTTGGAATCTTTGAGGGTACAGATAATAACCTCTGCAATATAGACACCAACTTTCCTAGCACTAGTGGCCCAGTATTACAGAGCAAGCATTGGTCCTCTACCTCCAGGTGACTTTATATCATCTACAGATGGACTTAGGAAGTGTCAACATATGTGCCAATGGCATTACAATAGGATATGGAGTATCTCAAATTTGTTTCTGAGGGGCAGGAAGGAAGAGAACTATTTTGTCTATTTCCTTGCTTCTGAAAGAGGTTATGGCCAACCTGTTTCATATAAAGTGGATAGGATAGCTCTGGTCATAGGTCATAGCCCTTGGAATGTTAGAACTTGAAGGCTCTCTTACAGCACATAGACTTGAGCCTAGATCAGTATCTCCAGAGGAGTGTCTTAGAATTTGCCAGATCAAAATGTCCAAGGATGAGGCATGAGAATATTTAGTGGGCATCCTAACAAGTACTCCTGGTACCAAGGCAAGTCTGGGAGCCCTAAATTCCTCTATTACAGATCAAGAAGCTGTCTGCGGTCTAAAGTCCCATAGCATACAGCATGCTGGTGTATCAAGAACTTGCCCTGGCTCATTAAGCAGGCGAGGAACAAAGCACAGAACACAAACCCTGATTCTTTCCAGGGATGTCTTAAAATTATCGCCCTACTACCTGGAGTTCTGGTATCTCATGAGTTTTGGACAACCCACATTTGTTAATCCTCAACAGTCTATTAATGCATCTTCATTGATGAGTATCTACTCTAATTATGCCTCTTCTGTTGGGGTGGTGTCACCCATGAGATGTGGCTAGGGTCAGCACTCATGGCTCTGGACAGCTAAAAGTTTTCTCTAGAAAAGGGTGATTGACACAGTCAAAAAGAAAACTGCTTAAGTTTGGCGGTGATGGCAGCACATGCCTTTAATCCCAGCACCCAGGAGACAGAGGCAGGCGGATCTCTAAATTTGAGGCATGCCTGGTCTACAGAATGAGTTCTAGGACAGCCAGGGCTACCCAGGGAAACCCTGTCTTGAAAAACCAAAACAAACACACAAAACTGTTTGAGTCAAGGGACAAACTGAAGAGAACCAGGAGGAGGGAGGGAACCCTTTGGAGCCTCAGGGTGGAAAAGGGAGCCTGGTTTGACCTAGTCAGGATGGGTAGCATCTATATGTAGGGCTGAGTTAGGACTCAGGCAGGCTTGGGTAGAGGTTGGTTAGAGCTCCAGGGCCCTTACCTTGGGTAAGATAGTAATCCAGTGTGCGAGCAACACCTCCGGAACTCTGCAATGCTCTTCCCCGAGAATGAGACGACTCAGCCAGGCTCCTTTTTTCCTTTGCACTTGACTGCTTCCACCCGTCCTCGACTGCAGTTTGCTGCTGTAACTGGCAGAGTTACAGCCAGGGAGAAGGAGTAGGGTGGGGAGAGGTGTGAACGCTTTCCTCAGTCCAGCCTGTCTAACTCTTAAAGGCCCAGGACACTGGTCAACGTGAGGAGTTGTGGGGGTGGGGTGGTAGAAAAGGATTAAGGGAATGGATTGAGGTTGACAGGCAACATATCTCCAGGGAGAAGGAGCCTGTCTGCCTTTTATCTTGATGCCTCCTTACCCGTACTCCTTACTGACCCCAATCCCGCAATTGCTCTCAAAGTGAAACCCAAGGCCTGCCTGCTGCTGCTTTGTGAATCACTGCTTCTCATTCTGGTCAGTGTCTGTGTGGAATACCACTGGTTTTGCCCTCATTCCATCTGGCTGCTTTCCACCAGCTTGCTCCTGTTTCTGCATCCTGCCTTGCAGGGCAATCAATCTAATTGTGTAAAAATGCAGGAACAGAGCAAGACAGGGAGGGGGAAGCAATCAGTCTGAAGAGACAGTATCTATGCTCTTATATATGATGGGTAGTTATTGTGTTTTGTTTGGGGGCATTAAGACAGGGTCTCTTATAGCCCAGACTAACCTTGAACTTGATACGTAGCTGGGGATGGCATTGGACTCCAGATCCTCCTGCCCCCCCACCAAAAGTGTGAGATTCAGGTGTGTACTACTATGTCCGGTTTGAGTGATAACGAGGATGAAACCCAGGTCTTCTTGTATACCGTGCAAGCTCTTTACCTACTGAGCTACACCCTCAGGTCCCTCCCTCAGTGCCCTTCTTTCTTTTTGTAATCATTTATTCAATGCCAGGCTATTTATTTACTTATGAGATTGGGGTCTTGCTGTTTAGCCCAGCTGGTCCTGAACTCACAGCCCCCTGCTTCATTGTCCTGACTGTTGGGATATAGGCAGGCGCCACCATGCCTGGCCACACATAGCAAGGAGTGAAATTGAAGCAGTGTATTCAGATCGGAGGACCCTTTTAGGGAGGCTCACACCCATGCTCCCATGCATCTTTCTTCATGAGCACCTTTCCGTCTCGTACTTAAGAATCAGAGTTAACACATCTCCTAATAAATTCCAACTTTGCTAAAAACAAACAGCATAACCCTAAAAAAAAAACCAAAAACAAAACAAAACAAAAAACCAGCAAAGTGGAGCTGGAAAAATACCCGTAAAGGATGAGCATGTTCCTTCCAAAGTAAATAAATAGGTAGCTGGCACAGGAGTCAAGATGGAGGAAGGGAACCAAATCAGATGAGGAAAAGGGAATTGTAAAGGGTGTTATTATGACCCCATACTTCACACATAGGAACTAAGGTCCTGGAAGTTTCTAGACTACATGTTGGCACACTGAAGACAACTGGCCCTTGCACATTCCCAAGTACCACAGCTGGGCTCTGCCTTGGGGAGATTGTGAAAGGTGGCTTTCTGGACCAGTAGATGACAGTTAAAGCAGTTATGGACATAGGACACATCTATGGAACTCCAATGAGGTTCTTTTCCAGCGGTGTATTTTAGTCACAGGCACAGAGGGAACTAAGCTTTGTGAAATGGCATGATTTTTATTATGTGGAGTTCTGGCTGCCTCTCATAGGTCCCTCAAATACCTCTCAACTGACTAATAGTCTGCCATTAGAGGTTATTTATAGCTAACTTTTAAGTTCCATTAAAATAAAATCCTTCTAAGTGATGCCTACAAAAGCCAGGATGTCGATTACTTTAGGAAGGACTTGTGGTAGAATGGGTGCATCGCTGGGCTAGGTCTATTTTTAGTCCTGCGTACTAACAGCAGGGATCTTCATTCTATAATAATTCACTAAGTTATACATTTTCTTTTCTATTTAAAATACAAACAATCTTATATATCAATCCCAGTTCCCTATATTTTCTTTTTTGTAGTTCTATATTGCTTCTATTATATTTTACAAGTGCTCAGACTATAGGCTTATTTGAGAACAGGCTTTGGGGCTGGAGAGATGGCTCAGAGGTTAAGAGCACTGGTTGTTCTTCCAAAGGTCCTGAGTTCAATTCCCAGCAACCACATGGTGGCCCAAAACCATCGGTAGTGAGATCTGGCGCCCCCTTCTGGACTTCAGGGAAAAAAAGAAAAAGAAAATGAGAACAGGCTTTGATAGCAGAAAGCATAGTCCAAAGGGAAGGTAGACATTAAAAGGGAAGAGTAGAGAACAAAATATAAACCACCAATTTCAGATTTGGCATTGACTTAGGAGGTCCAGCTCAGTGTAACACACTTGTCCGCCACTATAATCTCCTTTCACAATTTCCCTCTTCCACATAATTCTGCTTTTTACCCCAGGCCTATATACCTCTTGTCTCTTTCTCATCGGCTCAATGTTACCCTAGCTCCTGGGTGATGTAGGAAAGAGGGGTGTTAACACTTCTAGATTTTTCTGAGGGACAGCAGGTTTCAAATATTCTGCTTCTGTGTTCTCATCAACATACCACTACTCCTCAGACTCTGCGTTCTGACTTTGGGGGGTTGAGTATGTGAGAGCTTTCACAAGATGAGTTTAGCTCCCAAGAATGCTTGGGAAGGGGCTTGGTGAGAGATGGCTTGGTGGAGAAAGGCACATGCTGCCAAGCCTGACCACTTGGGTTTGATGCCCAAGACCCACATGGTGGTGAGAACTAACTTGTAAAGTTGACTTCAGACCTACACACACACTCACACCCACACCCACACACACACAGGATAAATGTAAAATAAATAAGTAAAGAGTTCTTGGATGATAGCTCTTAGAGAGAACATAGGACTTTGAATAGATCCAGAGAGGCAGCAGACGGGGCTTTGGCACAGGAACTGTCCATCTGCTTTGGTAATTCCTATGTCCGCAAAGATCCCAGCCCATCCCCCATACTTGTCTATTATTAACAGACCCAGAAACCTGATCAGGGCAGCTGCAGAGGGACTTTCTGGGAACCATGCCCAGGAAAGGCCTAGAAGCCCTAAACTGAAATGAAGAAGCAGGTGGCAGAGGGAGACCCAAACACCATAATCTTAGTCTTCCATCCATGTCTGCTCAGACTCCCCTCTTGGCACTTGGGGCCAAGGCTTCCAGACCTAAACACTTCTACTGCTTGGCATTCAGGTTGTAGAATTCGAGTCCCCAACCTACTCAAGTGAACTCAAATTTCTAAAATAAAGCATCTTTTTGTATTCAAAAGATAATTCAGGGTATTAGATTGCAAAGCTGGGGAATGATTGCTGGACAAGCATGAGGACCTGAGTTCAGATCCCCAGAATCCACAAATACAAAAACAAACAAACAAAAAACCCAGCCAGGTACTAAGAAACAGGCCTGCAATCCCAGTGCTGGGAAGGGTGATGTCTAGGGCTTGCTGGCCAGCTAGTCTGTCCAAATCAATGAGCTCTTGGATCAGTGAGAGACCTTAAAGAAGGTGGGATCTGCGAGATGGCTCTAGGGTTAAGCACTTGCCTCAAAAGCCTGACTTTGAAGCCGGGCGGTGGTGGCGCACGCCTTTAATCCCAGCACTCGGGAGGCAGAGGCAGGCGGATTTCTGTGAGTTCGAGGCTGGGCTGGACCGATAGCCTCCAAAACAATACAGAGAAACCCTGTCTCGAAAAATCAAAAAAAAAAAAAAAAAAAGCCTGACTTTGCACCCCCAGAACTCCTGTATAATTTGGTAAGGTAGTGAGCATCTAATTCCAGTGCTTCCATGGTGAGATGGGTTGTGGAGAGAATCCTTAGGCGCTCCTGGGGCAGCTAGGCTGGTGTACACAGAAGCAAACAACAAAGATATGTCTTAAATAAGGTAGGTGGTGAAAATGGATACCAGAGGTAGTTCTCTCATCTCCACAACTGTGCCTATACTCACATACATGGACATGGACACACACACACACACACACACACACACACACACACACACACACACACGTTGGGGGAGACTGAGATTCCATCTGAGAAACCACTGTAAAAGCCAGTATGCATAACTTCAGAAGACCAGAGAATTGATAACCACTCCTCTATTCCAGCAAAAATTATGTCTCAGTACTATCATGTTGTTAAGTGCAAGGTGGGAAGTTGACAGAAGGTATAAAAAAATCCAGCAAAATAAACAGTATGTGTCATAATATTCCAAAAATGATTCAAAGCATCAGAAAAGACCATTAAAATAAGATATGTGCATGCTATTATTATGAGAATCCTATCTACAAAAAGGTTAAAGAAACCTGGAAGTAAAAGATTAATTTCATTTTCATTCAAGATTACCTTGGCCATTTGGATAAATTTTTAGAATCCACTTGTCAATTTTCACAATAATAAACCTGGTGTGATTTTCCTTAGAATTGAGTTGAACCAGAAAGCAGGTAACCAACTTCTTTTCCTTATTGTTCTCCAACCCATAGGTGATATGTATTTTCTTCCATTTGTCTTTTTTTATTTTAAAATAATTTATTTTTATTTTATGTGTTTTTCCTGTATGTATATGTCTGTGTGATGGTGTCAGATCCCTTGGAACTGGAGTTACAGACTGTTGTGAGCTGCCATGTGGGTGCTGGGAATTGAGCCTGGTCCTCTGGAAGGGCAGCCAGTGCTCTTAACTGCTGAGCCATCTCCATCCTGCAACATGTACTCTTAATTGCAGAGCAGTCTTCTAATGTTATTTACTTTTGAGATATGATTGCTCATATTTGAGGGAGGCCTGAAAGTACCTATGTAGCCAAGAATGACTTAGAACTTCTGATTCTCCTGTCTCTACTCCTTGTAAGCTAAGAATATAGTATGTGCCACTACATCTAGTTTATTGTAGGTATAATATTTGTAGCCACATTTCTTTTCTTTCTTTTTATTTTTGGGAGACAGGGTTTCTCTGTGTAACAGCTACAGCTGTAATTCACTTTGTACACTAGACAGGCCTCAAACTCACTGAGATCTGCCTGCCTCTCCTCCCAAGTGCTAGGATTAAAGGTGTGCACCACCAACGCCTGGCTTAACCATACATTTTTAAAATTTCACTTTGTGTGTATTATGAAGAAAAACAAATTGGTTTTATTGACTTTGCCTTCTATGACCTGCTAAATTCACGATTGTATTTGTAGAGTACTTTTGGTTTATTTATATCCATACTGTTTAGCATATATGGAGGTTCGTTAAAATCCCTGCTCCCGTATTTCTAAAACACACTTGCTAGGAACTAATAATGGAGGTATGAGACTGGACATCCTGGTTTCTTTCTTCAACTCGTGGAAAATGACTTTACTTCTTTTTAGACACCATGTAACAGAGGTGGACCTTAACTCTTGGAGTTTATGCCTCTATCTCTCTGATGTTGGGATCATAGGTGTATGCTTGGTTTATAAAAAATGATTCCAACATTTTCTTGAGAGGTTTGCTGTAGGATTTTTGATGCTTTTTATTAGATTAATTAGGATTGGCCTTTATAATCCAGGCTTTCTAAATTAGTTCTTTCTTCGGCTCCTCTTCTTTATGCAGTGCTGGGGACAGAACTCAGTGCCTAAGCCTGCAAAGCACATGTTCTACCACTGAGCCATATCCCTAGCTAACCTCATACTCTGTAAGTTCTAAGGATGACCTTGAACTTCTGAATCGCCTGCCACCATTGTTTGAATGTTAAGATTATACATGTGTGCAACTTTGTTTCTTCAAAAAAATTTTTTTTTGTTTTTGAGGTAGGGTGGCATTATGTAGCCCAGGCTGACTGAACTCAAGGATCTGCCTGCTTCTGCCTCCTGAGTGCTGAAATTAAAGGCGTGTGCTATCATATAGCTTAAAAAAAAATCATGGATAGGTGTTAAGATGTTGTGTTTTTTTTTTTTCCTTCCTAATGATTTTTTTTTCTCCTGTTCTGAACCACACTGACTGGCTCTCACAGATTGAATAACCCTGATACTCTTTTGCAATGAACTGGTTAATCTGATACATTATTTTTGAATCGCTAGATTTGATTATTTTGTCAGGATTATTTTGTCACATTCTTTCCTGTGGTGCCATAGCTCCAATTTAAGGCCTCAAGCATATGCTTTATCACTGAGATATACCCCTTGCTTCATTTTTCAGTTAAAACACACACACACACACACACACACACACACACACACACACACACACACACACACACACACACGGCCAGAAGTGAGTGTCAGACCCCTTGGAAATGGAACTTCATACAGACAGTTGTTATCAAATCCAGGTCCTTGAAGAGTAGCCAGTGCTCTTAACCACAAACCCTTCTCTCCAGCCTTATTGTTCAGTTTTTGAGACAGGTCTGACACTGCAACCCAGCTTCTTCTTTTCATCTTAAGACACTAGTCCTCACTAGCAGGTACAGCAGGACTTACCTACAATCTGAGAATTTGGGAAACTGGGGCAGAAGCACAAATTGAGGACTAGACAGAGCTACATGTGACCCTTTGAATTTTAGGTCTGCATTTGTGGCAGAAGTTGGTTCCAAGAATTCATTGGAATGTTGACAGATTTTGGTGGATGGGCGCTGCTGCTTCAAAATGGAAATCTATTCCTTGTTTTGTTCTTACAATTTTACCCCCTTGGTAACTGTAAGATATGAAATGTGTGTGGTTATGTGTACACCTGCATTTGTCTGGATTGATGTAGGGCGATGTTTTCCTTTTTAAAATACTGTGTAAGTACATATGCCATGGTCCATGTGTGAAGCCCAAAGGACAAATCTGCATTTTCTTCTACCTTTACATGGATTCTGGGGTGACCAAACTTGGACCTCTCACCAACTCCAGCTTACTTTTCTTCTGTTTGTTCCTGACTCTGGGTTCCTTCCCTTGAAGACAGACTGTAATCTGTAAGGGGACATAAACCCTTCTCCCCAAGTTGATTTTGGTCATGGTCTTATCATAAAACTAAGAGCAAGCACTTGACCTAATGAGTCATCTCCCAAGCCCTCAGGTCCTAGTAGAACATTATAGCTCTCCAAAACCCTTGAAAAGAAAAGCCAGATGCTGGTTGTGTCCCACTAAGCCAGGCACGAGGTCAACTCTAAAGATGTCCTCTAAGCCCTGACTCCAAAGATGACATGTAAACCCACAATAAATGTAAGCACTGCATAACCAATGTTAAGCACTACCTCTTTACTTACAAAAATCTCTCCCACCCAGGCACAGAAGCCAGGAGTGAGGTTCTGCCTGTGCAAGAGATACTTCTCAGGTAAGGCCACCACCCTAGACCCCCAAACAGCTTTCATGACCAATTGTAGCTTTCTGCCCACAAAGGAACGACCATCTTCTTCTTAGCAGGGCAGTCTGTGTGTAAGCAGACAGGGCAGAGGAAGGGTCAACAACGATTATCAGAGTAAAGTGCTTAGATGTCTCTATGCTGATAGAATAAATTCCCCAATTAAAAGAAATTTAAAAAAAACCAGAGCATGTTTTATTTTAATCCTGTTGAGGGAGAGGGATGGAAAACACATAATAAGGGGAAGAGTCTCTATATAATACATACAACATCAGGACCAACCACAGGGAATGAGACCCATTGCACCCCTCCCCGTCCAACTCCTATGCAGGTAGGCTCCAAGACCAACTGAGGACAAATGGGACACAAATTAAGACATGATTGGCACAGTAACATGGCCAATGCACCAAAAGATGGAGAGAATGTCCCAAGGGAGCAAGGCCCCAGGCCTCAGCTGCTCCCCCAGTGGAGAGGAATGAGAAACTTTGGCTCAGTAGGAAGGCAAATTTCAAATATCAGGGTACCCTAGTTAAACTTTTCAGATCACAAACTGGAGTGAATCAAAATGCCAAATTGATGCTGTTTTCTGTTTTCTCTAAGACCTTTCCTCTTTAGGCCTGAGGCCAGGGTCTCCTTTTCAAATTGGAAGGCAAGGAAATAAGTGCTTATTCTATCCTTCCTAAATCTAGGCTACTTAATCACTACTTTCTTGGCTCTAGAGACAGAAGCCAACTAACAAGGCCGGCTTCCTTTGTGAAAGTCGGCTTAAAGAGCCCTTGGGTTGGCTCAGCTGCCTCTACAAAGATTTTTCTCTAAGTAGTCATCCCTTTATACAACTTCCTCAAACTTGTTACAGCTATCTGCAGGTGTGTGAGACATGGGCTGGAGATTGATCTCTCTCTAGAGATGGATCAATAATCCCATCTTTGGAGATGAGGATGACAGAGAAAGAACAAGTGCTGACAATGAGGAAGGTCACAGAAAGAAAGGCAGTTTACAATAGGTTATACATTCAAGCCCACAGAGATGGAAGGGGAACTCTGGCACATTATCAACAAGTAAAAAATATTTTAGTGGCAACCCTGTAGTTTCCATAGACCAAAGAAAATGTGTTAAAAGGGGGAGGAAACTGAGCCAGCAGAATCTAGCCATTCATCTTAAATCAGAAGAAAATCATTTAGCTAATACTGCTTCAAGTATAGTCATGAGGAGAGATGGTGTTATTGAAACTCACACTAGGAGAATGGTATCACAGAGCCTAATCCTGGATCCAAGTGCTTGCTTCCCTTGAGAAGACACACCCGGAAATCATCTTTGATCTGAAGACTGCCATCCCTCCTGCCCCAGTACAATACTCTTTCAGGAAAGTTGGGTAAATTAAGACATCTGCTTTAAGTGTAAGTGGTTAAAAGAAGCAGAAAGCGCTGAGATTTGGAAAAGCTAGTAGCTAAAGCCAGAACCAAGGTTGAGGTACTCACGGCAGCCAGGCTTGGAAATGAAAGAACGGTAGCAGAGGGGGACAGGTGGAGAGTTCCTGCTTGTCCTTTGGCTTTCCACTTCCCCTGCCTCCCATTCTATCCAACAGCCTGATGCAGCTATTGGCCTGCCAGAGGGGATGCAATGCCCAGACCAACTTTTATTGAGCTTATGCAGCTAACAGACTTGTAAACAGTGCCAATTGACAAAGTTTTGCTGAAAACTACAGCTTGTGTCCATTAAACACACCTCTCTCTTGAGATTAAAAACAAAAACTCAAAGTAAACAAATATTGAGAGAGAGGAGACACATCTTGAGTCTTCCAGGAAGGCAACGTTGAAAAAACAAGACAAGAAGAAGCGACATGGCTGGTCCCAGGCGTTCACCATGCCTAGAGTGTTGCTGCTATTACCATGTCTCCTCTCTACCAGTGGCTAGTAGAGGTTCAGGAGCAGGCTCCTCTTGGGCATGCTGCAAATACAGCATTTGCTGGTGTTGACACCCTCCTGGGGCTGTGGCGGCAGACTGCTGTGTCAGGAGCCCAATTCCTGGAGGCAGCAGGGGGATCCAGGACCTCCAGTCAGCCCACACACCTCAGCGGGTACCTTGCCCCTTTTCTCCAGTGCAGTTCAGCATTGAGGCTATCTATTCCCAGTCGGCAATAAAACCTGAGCTGTTTTCCTCAGAGGTACCACCCCCCACTTCCCAACTTATGGGGTAGTGGGAAGGAACAGGGAAGATCACTGAGGGGGCAGGGGAATTCCCCGGGGATCGGTGACCTGGCCCTCTTGCAGGTTCTTCACTAGTTGTGCAAGCCAGCGTTTGGTGGTGGTGTCATCTTTTAGCACCTGGGCAAAGGTTGTGTCCTTTAGCTGGTCAGGGAGACACTGTCTGAGTGCTTCACGTGCCCTACATCAGAAAGAAACAAATAAACCAACTAGGGAGACAACAAATAAACCCAAATTTTGGGGCTTAGAAGAACACCTTTCTTAGACATAAACATTCAACTTCCTAGGTAGAAACCTATGCTTTGTCAAGTTAATCAAGAAGCTACTAGAATTACTATTATTATTTTTGTTTGTTTTTTGAGACAGGGTGTCTCTGTATTGCTCTGGAGCCAGTCCTGGAACTCGCTCTGTAGACCAGGCTGGCCTCAAACTCACAGAGATCCGCCTGCCTCTGCCTCCCGAGTGTTGGGATTAAAGGCGTGCACCACCAACACTACTATACTTCTTAAAGCAGGTGTTATGCATAGGTTCGTTCAGAAACATCTAGAATGTTTAGTCCACGAATATTGTCAGCATACCCCAATGCAGAATTTCATTTAAAAGCAAAACAGAATAAAATGGTGCAACAGTTTACTGCACTTCAAATTTTGTTCTGATTTTTTTTTATAGATTTATTTATTATATACACACTGTTCTGCCTGTATGTCAGAAGAGGGTGCCAGGTCTCATTATAGATGGTTGTGAGCCATCATGTGGTTGCTGGGAATTGAACTCAGGTCCTCTGGAAGAGTAGTCAGTGCTCTTAACCTCTGAGCCATCTCTCCAGCCCTTGTTCTGATTTATTATAATAAATACTGTCAAAATACCATTAGGCAAAGTCTAATGAAATTATTTTAAAAATTGTACATGGACAGCAGACATACTTCATTTGTATGATAAATCAATGAATTTTAATTCTATACTAACATTAGTTATGTCTTTAAGGAAATGCTTTAACTTTGTATTTGAAAATCTTAATTAAGAAAGGAATAATAAAAACTATGGTAGCATTATTATCTAGAAGCCTAAAAAAGGCAAATGCCAACTCCATACAGGTCTATTCTGAACAGTTACAGCACTTATACTCAAACAGATAGAATTTTTAATAGTTATATTGCAAACTTGGGGGGCAAGATAGGAATCATTGAAAAACAGGACAAAATGATCAAAGAATAGCTAGGGCTTGAATAACCCCAGTGCCTAGAGACTGAGTTCACACTAATCAAACTACCTGATTCCTAGGAACTCAGAAATCACTCCATTATGTGGTTTGGCAGAATCTGAGCATGTAGCTTTCAGCATAAATTATAGATTAATAGGACAAAAAGTCAAACATTTCTGAAGTGCATTACATCCTCAAAGTGCATGATTCTGGCCGAGAAAAAGTAATAAACTCCACCACGTCTTACAGGATGCGGAGAACTGCAAGCATAAGAGCCTCTGGGCTATGGACCTTCCCAAGAGATCTTTGGAAGTACACTTATCTCTCTGACTACTTGGAGTGTCATAGAAAGCCCAAACCACATGATATGGTCTCCCTTGAAATTGCCTGGGCTTTTTGGCATTTCGGTGTAGGACAGAGTCAGAACTGGAAGATCTAACTAGTGGATATTTAAAATTAGATTTTAATAGGAACTTAAGTTTGTCTTAGATAAACCAGAGTTACGTCCTTTCCAATCCTTAAGACACAGGAGCTGAACCATGAAACTATTTCCCTGAAGTTCTAAGTCTTGTAAATCTTTACCTGGGATTATCTGAGAGTCGAAGGTAACATCTTACTACATGCTTCAATAGACGGGCAGATGGTTCTTTGGATAGCTGCAGGACCATTTTACCCTGTTTTAACCAAAACAAGGGTGGGGGGAAAAACACAAAATAATTAAAATTGACACCAGAGATCAGATCATCTAAGAATCATTATTTCATATTTTTATTATCTTTTCCTTTTTGAGACAGGGTCTGTGTGTTCTTGGCTAGCCTAGCTACTCACTATATATAGATCAGGCTGGGCTCAAACTCACAGAGATCGCCTTCCTCTGCCTCTAGAGTTCTGGAATTAAAGGCAAGCACTACCATTCGAGCTAGTATTTTGAGACAGGGCACTAATTCTTCACCTGACTGGTGTGGAACTCATGCTGGCCTCAAGCCTACGATGATCTTCTTGTCTCTCTCTGCCTTATAAACACTGGGATGACGGGCATGTACCATCATGACCACAACAGTTATTTCTAGTTAGAAGACTAAGTTTACAAAAGGACTATGTTATGTGATCAGAAGTAAGTTGCAGAGATAGTAAAGAACTCACCAAGATCATGGCAACATGGGAAAAACGCTCATATGTCTGACATATATAAGCCAAACCAGTGTCATCTAAGAGGATCTTCTGGAGGATGAATGTGGCAACCTGGAGCAAGAGAACACACATTATTGGATTGAGCAATCACTATATGTTAGGGTTTTTTTCTAAAGGTGATTTATAGGTCTTATTTTTCCTATTGAACCCATTAAGAATATGCAACCAGCTGAGCACTGGTGGCGCACACCTTTAATCCCAACACCCAGGAGGCAGAGGCAAGCAGATCTCTGTGAGTTCAAGGCCAGCTGGGTCTACAGAGCGAGTTCCAAAACAATACAGAGAAACCCTGTCTTGAAAAACCAAAAACAACAACAATAAAAGAATATGTATCATTATTCTTATTTTACATAAAAGGGAAAAGCCCTTGATAATTATCAGCAGGATTACTTAAAATTTGAGGCCAGCCTAGGGTACTTAGTGAGTACCAAATAAGCTTGAAACAGGCTTAACACAAACAAACTATCCACAAAAAACAATGATCCCTACCCCCAACCTCTAATTTAAAATAGACAATCATTTTGGGGAAAAAGTTTGAGATAGGGTGTGGTGACATTTATGATTTGTTAAAGCTTGCCTGAGGATTCAGAAAGCAAAGCCAGTCTTTTCTTTTTTTTTTTTTTTTTTTTTTTTTTTGGTTTTAGGAGACAGGGTTTCTCTGTAGTGGAGGCTGTCAGTCCAGCCTGGCCTCGAACTCAGAGATCCGCCTGACTCTGCCTCCCGAATGCTGGGATTAAAGGTGTGCGCCACCAGTGCCCGGCTCGCAAAGCCAGTCTTAAGCTATAGAGATCAAGCAGTGTGGTACACACCTTTAATCCCAGAACTCAGGAGAAAGGCAGATAGATCTCTGAGATCAAGACTACCCTGGGCTACCAGAGAGTAAATCAGAGCTCACGCCCTTAATCCCAGGATTTGAGAGGTATAAAAGGTAGAGGCATTCAGTCTGAGAGTTAGTCTCCAGCCACACTGAGACCATAGCAGTCTGAGTGAATCTGAGGAGCAGTGAAGTCAGGAGCAGTTTGAGGATGGCCTTTTTGGTCTGAGCTAGAAGGAAGAGCTAGCTGTAAAGCTGGCTAGAAGTAAAGCTGGATGCTTTACTTTTCTGATCTTCAGGCAAGCTTTAATAAATCATAAATAATGTATCACAACAGGGTCTTACTCTGTAGCCTCAAACTCACAGCAATGGCTCTGCCTCAGCCTTGTAAGTGTTGGCATTACAGGCAAGAGTCACATGGCTTGCAGATAACTAGGATGATGATTATCTTTCTTTGGTGCCATCAGAACTGCTGTTCTTGTTTTACTGAGGTATATCACTGTGATGGACCAAATAAAATGCCTCAAAGGTAGCCAAGTCTTAATCATCAAACCCTGAGAGTGCTCTCTCATATGTAAAACAGGGTCTTTGCAGATATAATTAGGGATCTTGAGCTAGAGAGATCACCCATACAGTCCTAAAAGTCACTAACATCATTCTAAGACATGGAGATTTAAACCACAAAGGAGAAGGGAATATAAGAGAATGAGATGTGAACACGCTTGACTGCTTGTTGTATAGAGAAGGGAACTATATGTAACGGAACACAAGAAATGCAATTCTAAAAGCAAAAAAGGCATGTAAAGGGACTCTCCTCTATAGCCTTTATAGGAACCATGGCCCTGCTCTATCTGGCTTAATTTCAGCTTGTTGAAATTGATCTGAGGCTTCTAGAACTAAGAATAAGTTTACAAATTAAGCCGTCACTTAATTTTGTTAATTTGTCATGACAGCAATAGGAAACTAAGATAAAATATACAGCAAAGAGCAAATTTACTAACAAAGTGTCACTTGGTGAGTTTTTAGCCTGTATCTATAGACCACATTGCCTTATATCTTTTTCAGGTAATTTCAATCCTTTGGAGGTAGCCAAAGTATTCTAAGGTAACCAGTATTCTAAGGCACTGCCAATAGTTATAAGGCAGGCATATGTCTAGTGGATAATGCCTAGTTCCTAAATAGCTACATTATCTATTTACCTAGCAGTATTTAAACCAAGCAATCAGGGGCCAATGAGATGGTAAGGACACTTGCCACCAAGCCCAAGAGTCTGAGTTTAAAACCCGAGAACCACATGCTGGAAGGAGAAGTCACTCCCACCAGTTGCTCTCTAACCTTCCTATGTATACCATGGCATGTGCACATATACACAAATAAAGACATAAACAATCAGCCAATCAATAACCACCTACTTAACTAAACTTTACTACCTTGGAAAAGAACTCTGTAGCAGGTCTGTGTTTTAAAAATTTTTAAATCTGTGTATTTGTCTATATGAGTCTATGTCCATGTATAGGTGCAGGTCTGTGCAAAAGCCAAAGAGGGTGTCAGATGTTCTCTCTTACTCTCTACCTATTCCTCCCAGGCAGGGTCTCAACCTCAAAGCCTGAGCTTGTGCTTTCCTCTAGGCTGGAAGCCAGCAAGCCCTCATAATTCTTCTATCTCTGTTTGCTCAGAGCTGGGATATAGGTGTGCACAGGATGTCAAGCTTAATACATGGGCACTGAATGTGAACATGATCATCCAGCAAGTGCTCATAATTACTAAGTCATTTATCTAGCCCTATGTTTAAAAGGAAGATTTGTCTATTTTTATATGTATGGATACTTTGCCTTCATGTTTTATCTATACACCATGTGCAATCAGTGCTCACAGTGCCCAGAAGGGGGCAACAGATCCTCTGGGACTAGAGTTACAGGTGGTTGTGAGTCACCACCATATGGGTCCTCTGCAAAAACAGCCAGTGCTCTTAACCCCTGAACCACCTCTCCAGCCATACCCCTGTATTTTAAAAATACTTCCCAGGCTATTACATCATTCATAATAGCCTTGACCAAGAAACCTTTATTTCAATGTGTGCCTACTATGAGCAAGGTGTTGTAAGTGTCATACAAGGTAAATACAAAGTCTAGTAATCCCAGCCCTCAGGAGTCTGAGGCAGAAAGAATGTTTCAAATTTGAGGTCTGCGTGTGCTATGTAGTATCAGGCCAGTAAGGGCTACGTAGCTTTAAGAGAGCAGGTTGAGCAAGCTACATGGAACAAGCCAGTAAGCAGCACTCCTCCATGGCCTCTGCATCAGTGCTTGCTTTGACTTTTTGCAATAAGTTCCCTGGAGAGGCAGAAAATGATTCTAGAGCCATAACAATGTTGAATCTTACTTAAAAGCACATACCGTTTTAGAAAGTTCACTTCCAGATTCCATAATACGCAAACACAAAGGGATTATTTCTGTTGTCAATAAAAAGTTGATTACTTCTTGTTCATCTGTTTTAACCAAGGCCCCTACGGAAAATATGAACAAACAAAATTATTTTAAAGAAATGATTTCTAATTACATTTATTATGCACTATCAAAGCAAGTTATGGAATTTAATATGATATTCAGACTGTAGTTTCTGTGTCAGGCAATCAGTTTCCTATCCATTTGAACAAAAATCAAGAGTCAGCAGCAGAGTCATGAGTGCAATCCCAGTATTGAGAAAGCACAGGCAGGAAGATACTGAGTTCAAGACCAGCTTCAGCAACTTAATGAGATGTTGTGTCAAAATGTAAAAAAATACAAATAAAGCAAGTGGGGAAGTGCTCAGTGTTAAGAACACTAGCTTAGTACAAAGCTCTGAGTTACTTAACTAATTCACTCAATTTAGTTAAAAGTTGATCAAGTTATTCCTTACTCCCTCTGTAACTTGATGCTATGTGATTATTGATCCTCATAGCTGAACTAGCAACATTGAGAATGATGCTTACTAAGTTTGCAAGCACTTACTAGTAAATGAGATGTCAAACACAAAAAATGAATAAGCTGTAAGAAGCTGAACAAAATACACAACTTAGATCACTATTGACCATAAGAATTTCAGGCTTACAGAATGGCCCTAAGAACTTACCTAGGCTGTCTGTATAGTTCAGCTGGGAGAGTCCTTACCTAGCATGCATGAAACCCTAAGTTCCATCCCCAGCACTGCATTAAGTATGGCAAAGTGTGTCTATAATCCCAGCACTTGGAGGTGAGGATTAAAGGATCAGAAATTTAAAAATTCAAGGGTATTCTCAGCTACCATAGTGAGCCTGAGGCCATGCTACCCTATATGAGACCCTGTGTCAAGAAAAACAAAACAAAAATAATAAAAAGCTTACCAATAACTCCAAGGCTGGTGAGCCGAAGATACTCAAAGGGACGAGTTTTGCTGACTGTGTGCAAAAAGGGGTACAAAAAAAGTGGGATGTGTGCTGCGAGAAAAGCCGACCTGGAAGAGAAACAAGCATAGTTAGACCTCAGAGCTGACTTCTAATCATCAAATGCCTAAGCTTAGAACAATATGTGAAATCGCCAGAGTAAGGGAATGGTTAGAAAAAAATTTTATTGTTTTTTTTTAAGCCTTGACCAACCTTCTGAAATGTGTAATTTTGTTCCCTAGGAGACATGTGTCAAGGTTTGGAGAGATATTTGTCAGAAGCAAGAAATGCTAAGGGCTACTTAGCATACGTCAGAGGCCAGAGACGCCTACTGCTTAGAAGCATACGCTCTTGTACTCACTGACACATCATATAGACTCAGCAAGGTGTCAATGTGTAACCACCACCCAGGCTAGGGTGAGTAAACCAACACAACCTACAATCTACCTTCAGTCTGCACCAAATACCTCAAAAGTTCTCAAGGACAGGTTTAAAAAAGATCAATTCATACATGTTAAAGCTAATGTGTTGCTGCAATGTTGTTGAATTCCTAGAACTCAAGGGCATGCCTAAATTAGGAGAATCATGAATTTGGGGCCAGCCTGGAAACACTGTCTCCAAAAGAAGAAGAGAGGAGAGGTGGAGGGGAGGAGGAAGAGAAAAAAGTGAAGAGATGAGAAGAGGGTAGGTAGGGTAGAGAAGGGTGGGGAAGGGGAGAAGAGGAGAGAGGGAAGAGAGGAGTGGGTAGGGTAGGGTAGGATAGAGGAGAGAAAAAGAGTGGAGAGGAGAGGTAGCTACAATTGCAGGTGTATTTGATGATTTCTAGTCTCTGTAAGCACCTAGACAGGAGTGGCAAGCAGGCACATGTGTTTGCCCTCTAACACACACACACACACACACACACACACACACACACACACACGCACACGCACACGCACACACGCACGCACACTAATGCCAGGTGATGGTGCACACCTTTAATCCCAGAGCTTGGGAGGTAGAGACAGGTAGGATCTCTGAGTTCCAGGCCAGCCTGGTCTAGAAAGTGAGTTCCAGGACAGCCAGGGTAGTTACACAGAGAAACTCTGTCTTGAAAACTGAAAATAAAAAAACGATCCATTTAGACTAATTCCTTAACCTAATTTAGAAGTGAATAGTGATTTTATAGACAAACTCAGATAAAACCTTATTTTAAAACAATGTAACAAAACAAAGCAATCACTCTCAGGTTTAACCCACTGTAGTGAGTTCCTGGAGTTACATAGTGAGACTTTGTCTCAACAAACAAACAAGAAGGATTTAGAAGTCTGTGAGAAAAGGTGCTTAAAAAATATTTACTGGCCGGGCATTGGTGGCACACGCCTTTAATCCCAGCACTCGGGAGGCATAGGCAGGCGGATCTCTGTGAGTTCGAGGCCATCCTGGTCTACAAAGTGAGTTCCAGGAAAGCCTCCAAAACAATACAGAGAAACCCTGCCTCGAAAAACCAAACAAAACACACACACACACACAATATTTACTGAGGTTGGATGGTGGTGAGTGGTGATGCATACCTTTAATTCCAGCACAGGGGGAGGAAGGGGGGAGAACATGCAGAGGCATGTGGATCTCTGTTGAGTTTGAGGTCAGCATGCTCTACGGATAGAGTTCTAGGATAGGCTCCAAAGCTACAGAAAAACCCTGTCTCAGAAGAAGAAGAAGAAGAAAAAAACCCTCCAAAAACAACAAAAATAAATTTACTAGCTGGGCAGTGGTGGTGCATGCCTTTAATCCCAGCACTCAGGAGGCAGAGGCAATTGGATCTCTGTGAGTTCGAGTCCAGCCTGGTCTTGAAAGAGAGTTCTAGGACAGCCTCCAAAGTCACAGAGAAACCCTGCCTGGAAAAACAAAACAAAACAAAAAACCAAAAACAGAGTTTGAGGCCAATCTCAGGTATAAAAACAAAAGCAGAAATTAACAACCCACAAGGAACTCCAACACCAACTGATTAAAAAAAAAGGAAAGCTCTGAAGACTCATACCCACATACCACATTGCATGCTCTTTCTCTGATCACTCAGCAAAGCTATCTAAGTTCCTATAAAACACTTATCCACCCCCATTAACTTACCAACACACTCACAGAACTGACCTGGTCTCTGGGTGTGAGGCCACACATTGCAGCAATGCTAAAGCATTGCAAACTCTGTTAGACTGGTGTGCTGTCAAAGTTGGAGGGTTGATAGATGGATAAATATTTACAATTTCCTGAAAAATGCAAAGAATCCCAGACAGCAATTAATCACAAATTACCAGTATCATAGCATAGTAATTTTAAAGGATCACTTAAATTCCTGCAGAAATTGAATTATCCTTTCATCACAAGCATACTGGACTAACTAGGCAAGACCTTTTTCCATGCACTCCTGGGAATACGACTATGGAAACAACTGGGTCTCATACACTTTCTCCTAGATTTTCCATCTTATCTTTATTTTACCTGTGTTGGTGTTTTGTCTGCATGCATGTTTGTGCATCACGTATACACAGTGCCCATTGAGACCAGAAAGAGAGTGTCAGGTGCCCTGGAACTGGAGTTATAGCTGGTTGTAAGCCACAAAGGAGGTGCTGGGAATCAAATCCAGGACCTCTGGAAAAATAGTCAGTGTTCTTTACCACTGAGCCACCTCTCCAGCCCCTGTAGCTAGTCTTTTAATTGAGGGATCCTTATATAACTTGTCATAACTTTAACTTGTATTCTACTTTATAATGATGAGAACCATGTTGAACACAATTCTGTTTAGTTGCAAATCCTTCCATAACACTAATAGACTCTTAGCTACTTGGAGTGCCGTATGAATTTATCGAACAGATTTGAAAGATTACTAGTAATTTGGGGAGGAACTTTACTGGATGATTATTCTACTACCTTGGGATTATTCCATTTTAATCAATTCCCAGTCTGGCTTGACTCAAACTCCAATTGTTTTTTCTTAGTCTAATTTACTTTCGTGGTGTGTGCCCACTTGTGGAAGCCAGAGGATAACCTACAGGATTCAGATCTCTCCTTGTACTGTGTTGGTCCCAAGGATCAAACTCAGGCTGTCACACTTGGCAGCAACCAACTGCCTTTACCCAATAAGTTACCTTACCAGATACGGTTGTTTATTTTATTTTATTTTTTTTGGTTTTTCGACACAGGGTTTCTCTGTGGCTTTGAAGGCTGTCCTGGAACTGGCTATGTAGACCAGGCTGGCCTCGAACTCACAGAGATCCACCTGCCTCTGCCTCCCAAATGCTGGGATTAAAGGCGTGTGCCACCAACGCCCGGTTGTTTATTTTTTAAAACACAGAGAAACCTACCTTTAATGCAATTGCTGCTACACCTTTATCTCAATACTTTCTTTTCTCAGACTTTATCTATGATCTTCCCTACTAAACAGATTTACCCCGTCATACTTCTAAAAGCGGTTTTTAAACATTTCTTTTTTTTTTTTTAAAGATTTATTTATTTAGTATACAGTGATCTATCTGCATGCATGCCTACAGGCCAGAAGACGGCACCAGATCTCATTTTGATGGTTGAAAGTCACCATGTGGTCGCTGGGATCATACTCAAGACCTCTAGAAAAACAGTTAGTGCTCTCAACCTCTGAGCCATCTCTCCAGCCCTCAACATATTTCTTAAGAATCACCTGTTGCCAGGTGTTGGCAGCACACATCTTTAATCCCAGCACTCCGGTGACAGAGGCAGGTGGATTTCTGTAAGTTCAAAGGCAGCATGGTCTACAAATCGAGTTCCAGGACAGCCAGGGCTACAAAGAGACACCATGTCTTAACAAATAAACAAACAAAAAGAAAACAAAAATTTCAACAATCATTCTTCTAAAGTCTTCAAAAATCATTTGAGCCAAGGAAGAGAAAAACACTCAAGTGTGACAAACATGATTGAATTCATACTTGTGGACACACCCACCTGTAAAAGTGCTGCAATAGTACCAAATGAATGCCACAGCATGGGTGCAAGGTCAGGGACAGACTCTCGCTTCTTGCTGAGCTCCAGCAAAGCATTTTCCCTCGTCTCAGGGCTGGACAGTTCATTGATCCACTGATAGATCTTCTCTCTGTCCACCTGGGCCAGTGTAGTAGGCACAGGCTTCAGGGGAAAACAAGAAAACAAATGTCAATTTATATAGTAAGATCAAGTCTTATCCTGCAATAGCACTTTAGGAAAAAAATGTATTTTTCTAAATAATAGCTTTACTAAACACATATATTTGATTGAAAGTAACTCAATCTGTTTGTCAGTTAATGAGCCCATGTTTAGGAGTTTGTGTTATAGGTGTATTTAGGCTGTACTGAAGATATACCAGTATGCTTAATATTGTGATGTTTTAAGACAGAAAACTAGGGTGGTGGTGGCACATGCCTTTAATCCCAGCACTGGGGAGGCAGAGGCAAGTGGATCTCTGTGAGTTCGAGACCAAGCCTGGTCTACCGAGCAAGTTCCAGGACAGGCTCTAAAACAATACAGAGAAACCCTGTCTGGAAAAACCAAAAAAAGACAGAAAACTAACAAACAGCTATCAATAAGAGATGACTTAAATATATCTTGGTGCATCTTTATTATGTAGCCCTTTATGAAAAGACATACGGACCATACTACATAAAAAATAAAAGTATGTAAATCATATTCCCACAAAAAGAAAGGACACATGCTTAGGCCATTAGATCACCTTAAAAAAAACAAAAACAAGGCCGGGCGTTGGTGGCGCACGCCTTTAATCCCAGCACTCGGGAGGCAGAGGCAGGCGGATCTCTGTGAGTTCGAGGCCAAGCTGGACCGATAGCCTCCAAAACAATACAGAGAAACCCTGTCTCGTAAAACAAAACAAAACAAACAAACAAAAAAACCAAACTATCCTCACCCAAAGCCCTCAATTCAGTTTAGCTATTTATAGAGTTGTGTGGACTAGGGAAAATGATTCAATTTTGTCAATTAAAGTAGAGCTGCTGTATTAACTACCAGTTTCTAAAAAACTACCAGTTCAAAAATATTTTAGGGGGCTGGAGAGATAGCTCAGAGGTTAAGAGCACTGACTGCTCTTCTAGAGGTCCTGAGTTCAATTCCCAGCAACCGCATGGTGGCTCACAGCCATCTGTAATGAGATCTGGTGTCCTCTTCTGGCTTGCAGACATACATGGAGGCAGGATGTTGTATTCATAATAAATAAATAAATCCTTAAAAAATTTTAGAAATTATTTAGTTCTGCTGTAAGAAAGAAGCATCAATTTTATATAAGTATACTTCACATACAAAAAAAGCACACCCCAGTTAAGTGCACTTTTCAATGAATTTTGATAACATATATCTTAGTAACCATCACAATTAAGACATAGATCACTTCTATTATCCCCCCAAAGTTCTCCAGGGCCTCTCTCAGAAACCTGGTATAGACAACCATAGGTATTTTCTGCTGCTGCAGATGAAGCCTGTACTTTCTAGGGATTACTATTAGAAGGAAAGGTTTCCTCACTCTATCCTCTCTCTAAGCTAAGAAACAGGTTAATACAGGTTTAACACAACCAAAGTTCAATTTATCTAAGACCACTTTGTAGAATCAGTGTCCTCATTTGGTCTATACAACTGAAATCACAAGCACCCCCTCTCCAAGTTGAAGAAATTATTTTTTACAACTCTAACACAACTTTCTTTAGTATTGTTACAGTACAGTTAATTAACAGTTGGATTTGCATAGCAAGTTGAACTATAATAAATACCCAGTCACAAAATCTTAAGTTTAATTTAGAATATTAATTATCATCTGGAGAGATGGTTCAGTGGTTAAAGGCTCTAGCTGCTCTTCCAGAGGACCAAGGTTCAATTTCCAGTACCCACATGGCAGCTCACAACTGTCTGCAACCCCAGTTACAGGAAACTCAACACCTTCACACAGACATACATGCAATAAAACAGCAATGTACATAAAATAAAAATAAACCTTAAAAATTCATTTAAAAATAGCCAGGCAGTGGCAGCACATGTCTTTAATCCCAGCACTCGGGAGGCAGAGGCAGGCAGATCTCTGTGAGTTTGAGGGCAGCCTGTTCTACAGAACGGGTTCCAGGACAGCCTCCAAAACAATACAGAGAAGCCCTGTCTTGAAAAACAAAAACAAAACAAAACAAAAAAACAGGGCTCTATTCCAGAGAATATTAATATTATCCTTTGTAATTCACTAAAGATAACAGTGTTTCTTTTTTTTAAGGTTTATTTATTTATTACATATACAGTGTTCTGCCTACATACCAGAAGAGGGCACCAGATTGAATATGTAGATGGTTGTGAGCCATCATGTGGTTGCTGGGAATTGAACTCAGGACCCCTGGAAGAGCCGTCAGTGCTCTTAACCTCTGAGCCATCTCTCCAGCCCAACAGTGTTTCTTTTTGACAGATGCATTTTAAAATGTATTACCATGCTGGGTGGTGGTGGCACATGCCTTTAATCCCAGCACTTGGGAGGCAGAGGCAGGCGGATCTCTGTGACTTCAAGACCAACCTGGTCTACAAGAGCTAGTTCTAGGACAGCCTCCAAAACCAGAGAAATCCTGTCTTGAAAAACAAAAAACAAAAAACAAACAAAAAAAAAGTATTATCAAATTAGTAGAGAGTTGTTCTCCCTTTTGTGATAAATGGTATGTATAAAATATATTTCAAATTAATATTTTTCCTTTCAACCAAACTCATTTCAGGAAAGATATTCACCTATGTAAGCCATCAACGGTTAGTTAGAATTATCACAAAGCTAAGGTGAACAACAGAAAGACATTTTTGATTATTTTAAATAAACATTTATCTGTAAATTGTAAAAATAATTTTACTCCTTTGGTGAATTGAAAATTTGATGAAGCTGGGTTTCTTAAAGAGAAAACATGTTTGATGGCCAGCAGGGCTCACTATCTTCCCGATGCAGTAAATGAAATAAAGAACAGGGCTAGATTAAACAGATTACATACATCCCAAAATGAGGTGGCTCAACATGGGACTCAACATGTGCACGTCAAGCTTGCCTTGAACTCACAGCAATCCTTCTGCCTCATCCTCTTGAAAGCTAGGATTACAGGCTGACTACACTTGACAAAATGTACCTTTGAGTATTAACAAAGAAATATGACTTGAAAAAGCTTTCTAAAGCATACTTAAAGTATTATCTATCCTTATTAGGACCCATTTTTTAAGTTTGTGTGTTAAGTTAGCGTTTCATTATATAGACCAGATTGGCCTGGGACTTGTAATCTTTCTTGATGTCTCCCAAGTCTTGAGGTTACAGGTCCATGTCAGCTTCAAAGCAACTTAAAAAAAAAAATCAAAGTAGGGTCAGTGAGATGACTCAGCTGGGTAAGGGTGTTTGCTATCCCCAGGGCTCAACGTGGTAGGAGAGAACTGACTTCTACAAGTCTCTCTCTCTATATAAACAAACATCTGTCTGTCTGTCTGTCTTTCTCTCACACATACACTTACTTACTCACTCACTCATCCACTAAACTAATAAATGAAAGTAAACCAGCAAAGAGAAGCTAGATTCTTTGCCCTAAGTTTAAACAGGAGGTTTGGCAGCAGTGAACTAATTTTATTGAGTATGCTCCTGTCAAAGAGCAGGGCATCTAGGAGTCAATCAGTTTTAACACAAAGATAATAAAATGGGCTGGGAAAATGGCTCAGTAAGTGCCTACAGCTCAAGTCATGAGGGCTGAGTTTGGATCCCCAGCATCCATACAAAAGTTTGGAACTCCAGAACTCACGGGTGGAAGGTTTGTTGGTCAGCTAGTCTAACTGAAACGGGAAGCTCCAGGTTCTGTGAGAAACCCTCTTTCAAAAAAGAAACAAGGGGGCTAGAGAGAGACAGCTCAGCAGTTATGAGCACTTGTTGCTTTCCCAGAGGACTTGGGTTCAAGAACCTACACGGTAACTCACAATCATCTGTAATTTCAGTTATAGGGGATCCTTTTCTGATCTCCAACATCACCAGGAACGCACAAGGTGCATATATACATACATGCAGGCAAAACATTCATACACAAAAAAATAAATTCTGAAAAAAAGGAAAAGAAAAAGAGAAACAAGGTGTCTAGGAAGCCCAACACTTGTCTTGCAGAAGGCAGATGTTGGGATCTCCAGGACCCACATAAAAAAAGTCCTGCAAGTGTGGATGCCTGAAATCCTAGCAGTGACAGAGACTCCCAAGGGGAAGCCAGCCTAAACATAGTCACAAGCTCTGGGTTCAAGAGGGAGGCCAAAGTATAGAGTGAGCAAGGGAGGTATTTGATGTCAATTTCAGGTCTAAACACAGACACCCACACTTGAACCCATACACCTGGGAACATACCATACATAAAAGAAAGTAATTATAGTTTAAAAAGCAGACAACACAGAGGAAGACATCTGATACTGATGTCTGGCCTCCACACATGCACCAATAAAAGTTCTTCATGTGCACATACATATACACACACAGAGTAACTCAAACGTTCAGGGATGCTAAAATTGCCAGTAGAAATCAGTGAAGAACTTTTATTACAGGTGTATCTAATGCCTCTCCTAAAGTTTACTTTGGCTGTTTCATTACATAAGACTCAAATGTCATACTTCCACTAATCTAGGTAACTCCATTTAGCTAGTATAAGAACCTAGCCAAAGTGCTTACTTCGGCAGCACATATACTAAAATTGGAACAATACAGAGAAGATTAGCATGGCCTTGGTGGGCAAGGATGACACACAAATTTGTGAAGCATTCCAAAAAGAAAAAAGAACCTAGCCAAAGACCAACTACTTAGCTTTGTTTTATTTTTTTCCTCATTTACTTATTGAGTGAGTGTATGTGCCATGGTGCATGTGTGAAAGTTAGAGAACAATCTCTGGGAGTTATTTCTCCTTTCCCATCAGTGGGTTCTGTTGACAAACTCAGGTCACCAGGCTTGGAGCAAGCATCTTTTATCTTCTGACCCCCAAACCTACCTTACTAGCTACATTTTTTTTAAAACATCAGTTGCATTCTACTTTTTTACATAGTATGAGCATGTGTGGGGCAGAGGTGTGCACAGAAATCTCCTCAATCATTTCTGGCTATATTTCCTTGAGGCAAGGCTGGTAGTTAGCAACCCCTAGTGATTCTTCAGTCTCTAACCCCAGAGCTCTGTCTGGGGTTGCAGGCATGGAAGTCACAGCTGCCTTTTTATATGAATGGTGGGGATTTGACCTCTTACCTGCTTAGCCATCTCCCTTTATCCCCTTACACTTATTAATTTTGTAAATAACCCTTCATTGTTTTCAGCCCACAATAGGAAAATTTTTTGACGACAGAATATATTACATAATGACAAGAGCACACTCTATTATATTCCAACTACCTCAGTGTCTTTTGCTACTGTCTCTCTAGTAAATAACGCCTGCACCCACTGCCCTTTAACAGTACTTCCTATCTCCGTAGCTATATACTAAAGAGATAGACCCCGTCTCAAGTACCACTCCAGAGGAACAACCCCCAAAGTTGACTCTGGCCTCCACACATGCACACCCACAATATGAACACATACACACTAGTTTTCATTATTAAACAAAAACCAAGCATCTTTTCAAAAGATTTAGGTTTTTGTGGTATTGTTGCATGTGATTCTAGTATGTCTTTTTTTTTTTTTTTGCTCAGATCAAAATAACATGGGAATAATGGATTATGAAGTAACTGCTTCAAATTTTTTTTCTTCAGTATCCTCACTAAATATCCTAACAGATGAATGGTACAAAAGAACTTGTCAGAGCTGCCACGTGGGTCAAACAGCATAACATGTTCAAGTTTTTTAAATTTATGTACAGCACTGTAGCTATAATTGAAGAAATATATCTTGAGAACTTCTTTTTGCCATGGCTACCATCTATTTGCTCTGTGAAACAAGCTGGTCTCAAACTCAGAGATTCACCTGCCTCTGCCTCCCAAATGCTGGGATTTAAGTATACACCACCACTACCAGGCTTGTAAGTGTTCTTAAACTATCCTGCTTTCCATACGGTTGTCAGAGTGCCATTCAGTCTGCTTACCTTGTAGGAACTGTTCTAGCAGTGAGGAAACAAGTAAACAGAATTCACCAAAGGGGGGGAGGGAGCCTGCTCCTGACCCCGAGAGGAAGACAGACAACCCACGAGTTACATAATCCAGTAATTACACACTGGAAAATCAATACTCTACAGAAGAAAATGTTGGGGTTACAAGCTACTGTGAACACGGTCGGAAAAAGTCACTCTGAGGGCAGACTTGTATGTATGGAGGCAGTCCTAAGAAAGGCAATTCCAGGTAAAGAAACTAGAGACTGTTTCATGCAGTCGAAATGTGCATGTACTTTTGGCAGGCGCTTAAGGAGCCAGTGACAAAAACGGAGCCCGTAAACTTGACTAAGGACCACATCATACAGGGCTTGTAGGCCAAGGAGTCTTTCTCCAAATGTACCCGAAAGCCACAGGATGACTTCAGGGAGGTGTAATACGTGATGAGCTTTTCTTGTTAAAAGATAAAACGAGATGTGCGAGGAAAGCTTTAAACGCAGAGGACCGTAAGTCAGATGCATTCATCCTGAACTTGACGGCTCTGGCTTTCTACACGCAAAGCAAGTGGACTGAGTTAGAAGCCATTTCCTTCCCACTGAGATGGGGAACTCTAGGCGAGGAGTTCCAGGAGCACGAGACCAGAGCGAATGGCCATGGAACTATCCTCATCCCCGCCGTCGCCCAGCACACAACCGGCGACCAGAAACTGACGCTGAGCTCAAATGAATCAATGAATGGCCTGCTGGGGCCGCGCGGGGCGCGGGGACCAGGCCTCGGCGCCGGAAAAGAACGCGAGAGGCCGCGCGCCGGGCCAGGCGAGGAGACGGACACGGCGGGGACAGCCGGGGGTCCGACTCCGCCACCGTCAGGGCGCGGTGTCTCCGGAGACTCCCGGGCCTCGCGGCTAGGGGCGGACGCAGCTGGACTCGGGGCCCGGCTGTGGGAGCTAGGAAGCAGGCTGAGACTGGCATCCGGGCGCAGCCACTCACCGCTGCCGTCGCCAGGCTGTGCATGTTGGGAGCGGCCGTCGCTCTCCTTCTTCCGCCGGACCCGCGTCCCAGCTTCAGCGGCTCTGCAGCCGGAGATGAGGAGCCGCCATCCGCCTCGCTCCTCCCCCTTCGCGGCCCTCTGACCTCTCACCTCTGACCCTCCACCCACACGGCCCTTTCCCGCCTCCTGGCCCTCGGCCTAGCTGACAGTCCTAGAGTATGTGCTTTGACACTTCAGATTCAGCACAAAAATGACGTCTGCAACCTACTGGGCCTCGTATTTCCCCGGCATAGCAGGTATATCCCCAGAGGAGCGTGAACTCTGACTTTCCTCCTAGGGCCAGAGAAGGGCGGGAAAAGGCCGGCGGTATTGGAAGGACACAAATTGCGCATGCTCACACGGGCTGAGCGAGCGGAAAATGGTGGGAGGTCCAAAGTCGGTAAAATGGAGAGTGCGCATGTGTACTACGGTACCGTCACGGCAGGGGCCGGCCGCCCGGGTTAGGGGCAGGGCTTGGTGAGGGGCGGAACGAATGCATGGGGCGGGGCTTGAGCGCTGACGCGCACGCGCCCGGACTGGTTACGTCGAGAGTGCGTACGTGCGTGCGTGTTTGCGTAGAGTCACAGTTCCCGCCATCAGCGGGTTCAGGAGAGTAGGATAGAGCACGGCCTCGCTTTCTGGGGCCAGGGGAGCCCCTTCCTCTGGAGCCCCTCGGCTCCTCCCTCTCCGCGGGAACTCTGTGCTTCCGGCAGGCTTGTAGCAGCTTGGGACCCTGCGGCACAGGTAAGGCGGGCCGGGAAAGCTTCAGAACTGAGCCGTTTTCCCCAGTCCTACCCCCCCTCACCGGGCGGTCCGCCCACTCGGCGTCCACTCTGGAGTTCGCCCGGCTGCTGCTCAGCCTGCCCCGGGTCCCTGGACGCTCCCTGTGCCTTACAGGTTCGCCCATTGGAGTGTTTCCCCTCCACTTTCCCTCTCCTTTAACGCGGACCGTATCGTCACTCGCTTTCCGCATTCTTAGCCTGGCTCCTGTTCACTAGGGTTGTGGTGGTCTCGGCTTGCCTCCTAACAAGGCCTGCTGTCTTTCCAGGTGACTTCCGTTGCCACATAGCCCTCACAGCTTGGATGTGATACTCACTCGCCCTGTGGGCCATTCGTTACTTTCCTCGTCTTAAACAGTGCTCATTGAAAGTCAGGGAGTGTAATTTTTGTCGTGCATTTGCTTGCCTCCCGTATCTAGTCTTACCGGCGACGTGCAGTTTACCAGTTTTAAATCAAGTTCCCTGTCTTTGGACAGTTGTGCTGTACTGGTTTTCGGGTGTTCTTTTGGCGAGTTACAGTACCTTATGAGTCTAGCTGAAAGAGAAATCTAAGAGAATGCTAAGGAGGCATTTGATTTTATTGGGTTAAAGATAAGAGGAAGGTTCTGGGCCAGTCATACAGATAAGTATGTGTGTCATTTGCCATGTTAAACTTGGAGCGTGCATATGCATGACATTGCCTAAAGAAGAGTACAGTGCTAGAAAAGAAGGGTGCTTCCAGATGCTTAACTTTTAATAACAGGTAGAGGAGATAAAGAGATGAAAGAATAGCGTTGCATACTGGCAAAAGGTAAACTGGGGACTGAAAAACTCAGTGGCAGACGTAATCGGTTGTCTTGGTGAGAAATTTGACAAGGTAAAATGATTTGGCTTCGGGCTGGGGTTCTCTTCTGTTGCCCTTCCATTTCTCTCTAAGCTTTAAATTCCACTATATATTGATAACTTGAGAATTTTTATTTTCAACTCCATATTCAAATAAATAGAGGGCTGTCTGCTTAGCATCTCAATCCCTCCCCCTTGGGAATTTCAGCTGTAACACCTCTAAAACCAGAGTCTTTGTCTCTGTCTCTCTCTTTTTTTTTTTTTTTTTTTTTTTTGAGACAGAGTTTCTCTATGTATCTCTGTCTGTCCTGGAACTAGCTCTGTAGACCTAGCTAGCCTCCAACTCATGGAGATCCACTGCCTGTCTACCCCACTCACTCCCCCCACTAAAGGCACAAGTCACCACCTCCCGCCCCCCCACCAGCTATGGCTGCCCTGGAACTTGCTTTTTAGACCAAACTGGGCTTGAAATCTCAGAGATCCGTCTGCCTCTGCCTCCCAAGTGCTGGGATTAAAGGTGTGGGCTAAAACCAGAGTCTACCCAAATTCTCACCCTTCCAGTGCCCATTTCTGTAAGTGGCATGTCCATTTTGATGTGACATGTCCATTTGTTCAGTTACACTGGGTAGAAGCTTCAGAGACATTCTTGATTTCTTCGTCCTATGTGTTTATATCTTCTCCAAATCCTATTTTATTTACAATATATGTTTTGCATCTGTTTCTGACCATCTTCACATATACTTTTCTAGCTCAAACCACAGTTCTTTTTAATGTGTACTTTATTTCTCTGGCTTCTAGTCTCACCTGTAAAATAATAATAGTTCTCACCTTAGTGGATTGTTATGAGTGCTATAAACTTGGCAGAGCATTGACACAAAAACTGGCAAGTAAAAATTAATTGTTATTATAATTATGAGTTAAACAATACTGCTTTCCCATCCGATCTTCCTTTTTTTTAAACTCTTGTTTTCTCTGCATTCCAAACTCCACTTCTCCATTCATTCAAAAATAACATATAATTTCTTTGCTTGAAACCCTTCAGTGACTTTCCCATTGCCAAGGTGCTTATTACTTGAAGATAAAAATTTAAAATCCTGTTCTGGGATATGCCTCAGTTGCTGAAACGTTTGCCTAGCATGCATGAATTCCAGGAGAAAGAGAGATTCTACATAACCTGGTCTTGCCTACTTCATTAGTTTTATCTTCTCACCTCTTCCTTTCTCTTAACTAACCTTTAGTGACACCGATTTCATTTCTGTTGACATTTCTAGCTTAGGGCTTTTGTGCTACCATCCTTCAATCAACTATGCCTTGATTTTTCAGCTTAAGTAATACTTTCTCAGTGAAGTCATCTCGATTTTTCTTTCCTCTACTCTCAACCCCCAGGTTGGATAAAAGCTATTTTAGGCAGAATCTATTCCTGAAATATAACACACACACACACACACAAACACACACACACACACACACACACAGAGTAAAATAAAAATAAAACAACTCGCTTTCGTTTTCGTTTCTCAAGAATTGATTAAATGAATCAAATTGGAAATTGCTATAAACTTATAGAGATGTAAGATGCTGTAAGAACCATCTTGTCTTTTGAAAGCATCAGTTTTCTGGTACTCTTACAACAGACACTTCATTCTGCAAAGGAAAACAGATGGGAATGTGGCTCAGCTGTAGGGTACTTGCTTAACATGCTGGAAGCCTGGATTCTAGCCATAGAAACTTGAAAATGAGCAGGGGACAAAGAGCAACAAAGGGTCTCCAGTTTATGATGTTTTACTTATTCCTGTTATCAAATCATTCTCGTTTTTTTCTTTTTATCCCCCCCCCCACACACAGTTTCTCTGTGTATCTTTGTATCTCTTTATAGCCTCTTCTGGAACTGGGTCGGTAGAGCTTGCTGGCCTCAAAGTGGCAGAGATCTGCCTGCCTCTGCCTCCCGAGTGAGTGCTTGGGTTTAAGGTGTGCACTACCACTGTTGGGCCATTCTTACAGGCTCTGTTTTATGATTTTGTTGTTGTTGTTACAAAAGAAAGTCATTGAAAACCTCCGGAGTGATTTATATATTTTAGCAACAGGTTAAATAGAGACTAGTAAAGATGAGGTGTCTACAAATAGACCTTGGTAGTTAAGGAAATCAATATTAAAATTTAATAACATTTTAGGACTTAAAGAGTTTATACTGAAAACAAAAACGGAAGTGTATGGATGTCAGAATTTTATTTTCTAGTAAGGAAGTGTATGGATGTCAAAATTTTATTTTCTAGTTCGTAGTGAGCAAGTAAAAATGTTTATAATGGGGTTAGCAGTTATTAGTATTGAATATTTAGCACTTACTGTTTATTTTGCTGGAATATACCAGAAATGTACCTAAGTTCTCGTGCCTGATTTGGGAGAAGGCTTTGAAAACAATTAGTGTGTACTTTAGTTCCTAAGGTGGGGAAAATGGTTCTTTAGAAAGACTATTGTAGAAAATAATCATTGATGGGAAAATCCTTTGAGAATGGTGACTGGGAAGTGACTTACACAATTCATTGATGAGGATGAACTGTGATAGTGGTTAAAAATTTGAGTTCCAGCCAGGTGTAGTGATTTATGCCTGTAATCCCTGCACTTGAAGATTGGAAGTAGGAGGGACAATAGTAGTTGAGCTTCTACCTACATAGTTCAAAACCAACCAAGGCTACATGAGATCCTGTTTCAAAAAGCAAAACAAAACAGGGAGAAAGTTTTGGGTTTGGGCATAGCTTTGTCTCTTAGTGAACTCTGTATTAATTTTTTCTTTTTAAAAAGATGTATTTACTGTTACGTGTTTTTTCTTCCTGCACTTATGTATGTATGTATGTATGTATGTATGTATGTATGTATGTATGACCACATCTGTGCCTGTTGCTTGTGGAGGTGAAAAGAGTATCTTCCCCAGAACTGGAGTTATGGATAATTATGAGCCATCATGTCGGTGCTGGGAATTTTAGACTAGGTCCTCTGCAAGAGCAACAAGTGATCTTGACTACTGAGTCATCTCTCTAGCCCCCTGCATTAATTTCTTAATCTCTGGAAGTCTCAGTTTCCTTTATCTGTAAGATACAGTGATAAACCCTATCCTGTAAAATTATTACCATTAGACAAAAGTTTTTGATACATAGCACTATGCTTAGTAAATGCATGATACTAGGCGAGGTGATTTAAAGAAATGAGTTTCTTAATTAACTTACTCATTTTGAGACAGCCTCTCATGTAGCCCAGACTGGCCTTGAAACTCACTGTGTAGCTGAAGATGAACCTTGAACTCCTTCCACCTCCCAAGTGTGGGATCGAGGCACACCAATTAATCCTTTGCTGACGATGAAATTCAGGGTTTCATTCATGCTAGGCAAGCACTCTACCAACAGAGCCACATCCCTATCCCAAAGTGATGAATTTCTGAATTAGGGAAGTACTTTTGAAAAGATTGGATATGAATAGGTGAGAAAGAGCTTAAAGCTAACAGGTAAGACTTCTTGTCTGAATGATGATGGGAAGGATAAACAGGGAAATCAAGAACAGTAGTCAGTCTTGCCCTGTGTCATCTTCACATGTGTGTCTTCTAACTGGAATTGAACAGTTAAGTCGGTATTGTATTCAAGTTCGTGGTAGAATTTCAGAGAAAGTTAGATTAAGAGGGACCTAAAATCAAAAAATAATTTTTTGTTGTTTATTTTTTTAAGTCTTCTGAAAGGTAAGTGAAGATGTCCTTTTCCAGCTTTAAAAACTACAGATCAG